GGGGAGCAGGGGCAGGGGCGGTGTGAGGGACCTGACCTAGCTGCTAGTGGGGAGCACGGACAGGTGGGGTAGTGAGGAGCAGGGGCAGGTGGTGTGTGAGGGACCTGACCTAGCTGCTAGTGGGGAGCAGGGGCAGGGGGGTGTGAGGGACCTGACCTAGCTGCTAGTGAGGAGCCGGGGCAGGTGGGGTGTGAGGGACCTGACCCAGCTGCTAGTGAGGAGCAGGGGCAGGTGGGGTGTGAGGGACCTGACCTAGCTGCTAGTGAGGAGCAGGGGCCGGTGGGTTGTGAGGGACCTGACCTAGCTGCTTGTGGGGAGCAGGGGCAGGTGGGGTGTGAGGGACCTGACCCAGCTGCTAGTGAGGAGCTGCGGCAGGGGGGGTGTGAGGGACCTGACCTAGCTGCTAGTAAGGAGCAGGGGCAGGTGGGGGGTGAGGGACCTGACCCAGCTGCTAGTGAGGAGCTGCGGCAGGGGGGGTGTGAGGGACCTGACCTAGCTGCTAGTAAGGAGCAGGGGCAGGTGGGGGGTGAGGGACCTGACCCAGCTGCTAGTGAGGAGCTGCGGCAGGGGGGGTGTGAGGGACCTGACCTAGCTGCTAGTAAGGAGCAGGGGCAGGTGGGGGGTGAGGGACCTGACCCAGCTGCTAGTGAGGAGCTGCGGCAGGGGGGGTGTGAGGGACCTGACCTAGCTGCTAGTGGGGAGCAGGGGCAGGTTGGTTGTGAGGGACCTGACCTAGCTGCTAGTGAGGAGCTGGGGCAGGTGGGGTGTGAGGGACCTGACCTAGCTGCTAGTGAGGAGCTGGGGCAGGTGGGGTGTGAGGGATCTGACCTAGCTGCTAGTGGGGAGCCGGGGCAGGTGGGGTGTGACGGACCTGACCTAGCTGCTAGTGGGGAGCAGGAGCAGGTGGGGTGTGAGGGACCTGACCCAGCTGCTAGTGAGGAGCTGGGGCAGGGGGGGTGTGAGGGACCTGACCCAGCTGCTAGTGAGGAGCAGAGACAGGGGGGGTGTGAGGGACCTGACCTAGCTGCTAGTGAGGAGCAGAGGCAGGTGGGGGGTGAGGGACCTGACCTAGCTGCTAGTGGGGAGCACGGACAGGTGGGGTGTGAGCTGCTAGTGAGGAGCCGGGGCAGGGGGGGTGTGATGGACCTGACCCAGCTGCTAGTGAGGAGCTGGGGCAGGGGGGGTGTGAGGGACCTGACCCAGCTGCTAGTGAGGAGCAGAGACAGGGGGGGTGTGAGGGACCTGACCTAGCTGCTAGTGAGGAGCAGAGGCAGGTGGGGGGTGAGGGACCTGACCTAGCTGCTAGTGGGGAGCACGGACAGGTGGGGTGTGAGCTGCTAGTGAGGAGCCGGGGCAGGGGGGGTGTGATGGACCTGACCCAGCTGCTAGTGAGGAGCTGGGGCAGGGGGGGTGTGAGGGACCTGACCCAGCTGCTAGTGAGGAGCAGAGACAGGTGGGGTGTGAGGGACCTGACCTAGCTGCTAGTGGGGAGCAGAGGCAGGTAGGATGTGAGGGACCTGACCCAGCTGCTAGTGAGGAGCAGAGACAGGTGGGGTGTGAGGGACCTGACCTAGCTGCTAGTGAGGAGC